CAAATATCAAATACTTAGTCGACATATTTCTTGAATCACGGGTTTGGAGTTGACATTGATAGATTTCAATTTCTCCAAATTTATATTAGGAGTAGCAACCTATACCCTTTAGGAGGAGTAGCGTGTATTGTCCTTAGTATCATCCAAAAAAATCTACACTTCTTGAACAAATATGCATTGTATTCAAGTCACATTCATCTTGTTGTCTCCTACTGCATCAACTTGGGGTAAAGAAGACGAGCAAGAAAGAAAGACACATGAAAAACCAAACACAAGCTCCTCATGGCTTTTCATTTCAAGTCTTGTGGTTTTTCATATATAGTAAAGATATATGTAGATATGGACGTATATATACATACACACACACACACACACACACACACATATATATATATATATATATATATATATATATATATATATATATATATATATATATATATATAGGTGAGTTTAATTGAGAAAATAAAAAAGGTTGAAAATGGGGGAATCATTCTCAGCCAATCATTTAATTAGCCTCTAAACATAAAGGACACACTGGCAAACTTGTAAATATCATATAATAGCCTTCAATCACAAATACGAACAGTTGAAATTCATTCGTTTTTTACTCTTTCAATCCAACTTTCAATTCTGTTTGAATACGAACATATCTTCAACATCTACGATTAATTATACTCTCAGCATCATTAGAACAACATCATCAAAAATCAACAAAAAATTCAATTCGTGTCATTCATTCAACATCGTTCATTAAATAAAACATCGAAATTAAGGTTAGAAAAAGATCAAATCATTTTTTGTTTGAAATTTTCATATATTTCTCTACCAATCTACTATTTTGTAAGATTTAAGTAGTCGAAGTATCATATTTATCACATTTTTAAAAAAGTTAACTTGAATGCACTCCAACTGTTTGATGAAATGTATAAACCAAATTACCACATTATATTCACATATAAATATGTTTTTTCACCTGAATCAATATATGATTATTAAAACACAAAACAAATATGCAAGTCTGTTATTCATATGTGAATAAAATATAAAAATTATATATATTTCTGAAAACACATTGTAATATTCATATATGAATATACTATGCAATATTCACATATGAATATACCAACTATTATTCGTAAGTGAATATACGATCTAATATTTACATGTAAATATACTATGTACTATTCTCATGTGATATACCATGTAATATTATATAACATTCACATATGAAAATATCATATAATGTTCATAAGTGAATATATCATCTAACATTCATAAATGAATATACTATGTAATATTCACAAATGAATGCATCGTCTAATATTTAAATAGAAATATATTATGTTTAATATATACTATATACATATATGAATGATACTTAAATTGTAAAAAAAATTAATTATAGTTTTTATTCATTAGTGAATAACGAATATACTGTAGTAAAAACCAGATTCATTTTTATTCACTTATGAATAACGATAGCTGAAAATATAAAAAAATAAATTTTTTATTTTATCTTAAAACTATATCAATATGGATGTCTATTTGTAGAGAATAAAAAATCATGAATTTTGGTATATTTAAAATCATTTTTCGATAAAAGTAGCTTATTAAACTTTCTCATTTCCGCCAGTACGTTCGAAGCTTTTGCGGTAAAAATAAATGATTGGCTGAGAATGATTCTTCCATTCTCAACCTTTTTTTTCTCAATTATATATATATATATATATATATATATATATATATATATATATATATATATATATATATATATATATATATATATATATATATATATATATATATATATATATGATTGAGAAACACAAAACCTTAAAGAACTTAAAGAGCTTTTTTTACACAATGTTTTTCAAAAAATAGCCTACATCTAATACATTCAAAAAAAAATCATGTGTATGCATTTTTTTTTAAATGTGTAAACACAATATATATATATATATATATATATATATATATATATATATATATATATATATATATATCAAAAATAGATTTTATAGAAAACTTGTTTTTTTTTTAATATTAATTTCAAATATGTACAATATTTTCCCGGAATTCTAAAAAAATTAAAAATTAAAAAAATTAAAAAATAAACAAAATAAAAAAAAATAGTTTTTTTTACAACTTTTAATTTTTCAATATATGTTGTGGTCTCTCATTTCTTTATAATGGCTCCTCGGATATTTAATATGAGACTCTACATGCTTTACATTTCGCACCAAATTCCACAGTTGATTTTAGAAATACATTTTGAAGTGAAGAAGAAACGCAACATGTGGATTTGAATCCCCGATCTTTCAATGAAATGGCAATTATGGTCCAGCTTTGAAATAAAGATAACAGTTTGACAATAATAAAAACTTTTCATGTTGAATCCCTGAAGTATCGAAGTGTTGGCAAAATTTACCTAAATTCGAAATTGGGCTGAAAATTCTGAGAAATTGAGAAATTTATGTATCAGGCCATTACAGTCAATGCGATTTAACATTTTATGCCCAATTTCACATTTGGGGTAAAGTTTCGCATCAGAGACTGATTTTGGTGCAACGAGTCCCTACGGATTCTGATATTTGTAGTTTTTACTCGTATTTTCAAAATTCTTGCACCCCTCACCCAGAAGTCGAAAATTTTCACAAAATTTGGAAATTTTTCATAACTTTTTCATGATTGTTTTTCCATGCAAATTTTTCACAGTTTCATTTTTGGCATACATCAAAGGGGAGTTTTGTGAAGTTTATTCCTCGGGTGCTTCTCAACCTTAGTGGGTTTTATAATCACTTGTTGATTGTAAAAAGGGGGAGAGTGTAGATTGGTTATTTGAAGATTCTCAGGTATTCATTTGCGGATTTGATGACTGATATTACTTCGAAGGGTAGTTGGTCTTAATCATGCAAGTTTGTTGGATATTGAAGCCAGGACATCCAATCCTAATTTTGAGTGGGAGAATGTTAGGGTGGAAAGTTACTCTTGGATGTCATGTGTGCTTACTCCTTTATATGTGTGTAATGAGTTGTCTTTTCTTTATAATAAATGAGTGATACTCATTTTATCTAAGGAAGAACATTATAGTGATTAGTTTATAGAGAGAATTATTGTAAACTCACTTGTACTCTTTCTAAAAACTAATGAGAGCTTAAACGATTTATTTACTCTTGTGTTCTTCATGTTTATTATTCTTACAATGATTCACTAGATCTTGTTAATTTCGAATATGTCATCATGATTAACAACACTACATGCTGATTTTATGGGATACTCGTGGATGAAACGATATTGATTTGTAATAGAAAACTGAAAATGCAGGAAATGCCTCATATCATAATACGTGGCACATGATCAGTTGGAGAGCTATAGAGATGACATGTGTAATCAAGGAACTATTCATTTATTAGTAGGTATATATATATATATATATATATA